TTGTTTCTCATATGCAGACCCAAGGAAGGGTTAAGCAGTCTCGTCACAGCCTGTCTCCAGGTGGATAACTTCCTGTATTGTGACCGCACACAAGTAGCCCAAAGGGTAGGAGCTCATGCCCCGAGAGCCCAGGCAGTGTTGACGGCATTCCTAAGTGACATTCCTACAGTGGACGTTTGCAGGGCTGTCACTTGGTCCTCTGTGCATACTTTTACAGACTGCTGTGCCATCCCTGCTGAGTGCAGAGCAGCTGCAAATGTTGGGAATGCAGTCCTTGTTTAAATAGACTCCATGCCCCACCTCCTGGGAGTACTGTTTGGGAGGCAATAAGGTAAAATACACAGTTGTATCGACTCAAAGCAAAATGCCACCTACCTGTGACTGGTGTTCTTCGGGATGTATTCCACGACCCAGCCTCTGTCCCCTCTGCACTGGAGTCTGTGCTTCTGGTGGTTGATGCTGAGGGAACAGCGCTGCCATTACACCACCAGGGGAGGGGCTAGGACTGCATGGCAGGAGTGCTGCCCCTATGGGCTGCTAGGTAACGTTCTTCGGCTGGGCGCACACACCCAAGCAGGATACATGGCTCTATCACTTCTTGAAGAACAACACTTGTAGGCAGGTAACTGTTTTGTCCTGCCAATCTCCTCCCTGCCACCCTTTACGAGAGAGAGTAGCTGGCACTCCGAATGGATGGTGTCTCCTCCAGTCGGTGATGGTGCTTGTGCCTGTGGCTGAATGGTGGACTCCCAGGTTTCTTCTGCCTGCCCCATGACTCCTTCCGAAGGGACTGCTACCTGTGCAGTGACCCCAGCCCCTACTGGCCGCGGAGCAGGAGACAGAGCGTGGGCCTCTGACTGACTCCCCCGCCTTGCATGGCTGACCGTGGTAACCGTGCTATTGCCATGGGTTCATTCATCCAGCTGCGGGGGAGGGCACCCGCTTGAGTGCGTATTGTTGTCTAGCTTTTTGCAATGGGAGTTCCCCAGTACCCTTTGTTAACCACTGCAAGAGCCATTGACAGATTCTAGCTCAATTGCCATGGAAATCTGTCTGGTGTGGGGCATGCACTGGCATTTTACTACTGTACTGCCAGGTGCGCCCAGAGCCCTGCTGTGCTGTGCGCGTGGCACACTCTTCAGGAGACAGTCCTTGTCCCAGTCCGAACAGATGAGCTGGGGTGGGGGTGTGGGTGTGAGCAGAGGCACGGTGGGGATGGACTTGCCCCCAGGCATGCTGCAAGTCAGTGGGAGAGCTGACAGTAAACCCAGACCTCCTGAGTCCTAGCTGTGCTGCTCCTGCTCTGAGCAGGAAGGACCCCCCGGGTACGTCTGCACTGGAATAAGACCTGTGGCACGGCCTTGGTAGCCCAGGTCAGCTGACTTGCACTCTCCAGGATTGCCATGCAAGGGTAAAAATGGCTGTGTAGTCGTTTAGGCTTGGGCTGGAACTGGGGTCTGGGACCCTCCTCCTCTTGGGATCCCAGGACTTGGGCTTCAGACAGAGCCCAAATGTCTACATGATAATTTTACAGCCTTGTGAGCCTGAGCCAGCTGATCTGGGCCAGCCGCCAGGAATGAATTGCTGTGTAGAGGTACCCCAGCGGCTACGCTGTCTTGGAGCTCCTGGTTGGTCAGTTACTTAGTGCACTGTGCTTTAGACTGACCGGCTCTGCTCTGAGGAGCTAACAGGTCAAGGTGAGTGGTGCTCAGGTACCCTGGTGGTGATGGACATAACCAGGGTGGAGCACTTGGGGGAGGGAAGGAGAGAGGGTGAGTGGGGAAGACTTAGAGCAATAAGGTCACAGGCTGCTGTGGTTAGCACAGTGCCTGGAAAGGGTCTGCAATAAAGGGAAGGGCTGGGGTCTCCTGCAGGGGGTGGAGGCCTGGTAGAGCGGGTCTAGGGGGATTCAGGTATAGAGCAGCTCAGCTCTGCAGGCCTGGCAGGTGAGGACAATGAGTGTGTTGGCTGGAGGTGGCTGGAGTGGTAGGTGGCTGTTCTGCAGTGTTGTGGCCGGCTTGGAAGCTGCGGGGTCAGAGGAGGAGCGAGCAGCTGCTGCAGCTGAGATCTAGCGAGAGGGGTTGGTGGGGGGGAATGGAGATGGGTAGGGAATAAAGCCATCAGGATGGAGCCATGGTGAGGGAGAGGTAGAGAGGCTCCTAAAGCACTGAGTCTGGTGGGTGGGGGTGCAGGGTAGTGAGCTGCTATACAATTTCTGTAAATTCAGTCCATCAGCATTTCTGCTACTGCAATTCCCTGGCAGTCTCTTTAACTACTCCACTAAGCTTCCATGGATCCAGAGAGCTAGGATCAGATTTCTCTTGCTTCAGGAAGCTGGAGTGTGTCCTCCACCCCTTCCTTGGCTTCCTAGCCCTCTGCTTCCCACCCTCCGTCACCTTGCCAGGCTCTCAGAACTCTCCATGGACTCATTCCACTCTGCTGCTCTGCATTTGCATCCCCCTTGCTCTGCTCCTTCCGTCCTGGCCTCTGTGCCCCAACTCCTGCAGCTCTGCACACTTGGGGAATCATCGCTTGCTCATGCTGCCCTGTGTAGCTGGTGCTTTGCTCCCTACTTTGCTCACTGTGCTTTGCTCCAGTCCCTCTAAGCCACCAAATTGTTTCCTCCATGTTCTGCTTCTAAACACTCTGTTCTCTAATTTCTGTCACTCCCTGCAAAGGCCTTCATGCTGCCGTGTGAAAGCTGCATGTTGTATATCAGAACACTAGGCTGCAGTTGTCCTGGGAAGGAGCTCGCAGAGTTCAGGGGAGCTCCTGCATGTCCCTCCTTTCTGGGCGATTTAAAAGCTGCTGGCTATTCTCTTGTATAGTAACTTATGGCAAAAACTGAATGCTAAGGTTGGAGGAGTTTGATCTGACTGCTCCAACCTGCCAGTAATGCAAGAGTCGGTCAGCATGCATATTAAATGATACATACTTCTAATGATCAAGGGCTGCATATACCTAAGCTAAGCAACTGCATGATCATATTGCTATAACCCTCATCACATCCCTTCCTTACAGTGTCTACTCCAGCCAGCATGTCCCATGTCAGTTCAGGTCAAGTACAGCTCATCTGGCTGTTCTCTAAGCTTCCTCACATACTTTTGGGCTCTGTAGAAATAGTGTGTGTGGTAACAATGTAATGCAGCTCAGGATTCTCCCTGCTAAATCAGACCTATAGCCCACTCAGCTTGGGGTCCTGCCTGCAATGCTGGCCTCTCCTGATGCTTCAGAGGAAGGTGAAAACACATGTATGTGCCTGGTCTGTTGTGCAATGTTGTATAGAGAGGGTGAGAACCCTTCCTGACCCCACAGCAATGTTTATGCCCAGAAGCATGAGACTTGATTACTCTCATCTTAGCATGCAGCCTGCTTCGGGGAGGGTTCTGTCAGCAAAACCAAAAAGCCAGGTCCCAGAAGGGGTTGAGACCATTGGTAGTAAAGCTCCCTGGAGGGCTGTTATCTCGGCTGAAGGAAGCCCAGACAATTCTTGGTGTCTGTTTTAATTTTGATTCCTATAATCTTGTTATCCCTTTGACTAAGCACGTTTTGAGAAATTGATGTGCTTGCTGGGGCAAAAGAGCTGCGAGTTATGAAAGTCTGTTCCTTTTTATTTCTCTCCCATTCCCCATGTATACGTGGTAGAAGTGGCAAGGCTTTGGAGAACTCCAGATTCTGGGTGAGAAGGCTTGCAAATGTCTGCTCGCACACTTGCCCAAGGCACCTGGATTTCTTTAATTGATAAAATGTTAATTTTTATCAAGATGTGGGGGTGGCTGGGTAGATTTTTATGCTGGAACTTGGTAAATATTTGTGCCAGTTCTGCAAATCCCTTCTAGACATGCCTTAGCCTTGATGAAAATCACCTGAATTTTGCTGCAGTTCGGATCAGGTCAGATCTGTAATGTTGCATATGATAAAAATAGCTAAAAAAATTAAAATAAAAAGCCCTGCAGCATGCATGTCTCACTCTGGGCTGCTGGAATCCTGCCCCGCTTTGCCACCAGTCTTCCTAGTGTTCGGCTTGTTAGTTTGCTTTGGTCATCCATGGAAGCCCCAGCCTAGATGAGAGCCCCAATGTGTTAACCACTGTACGAGTACCTAAGAGACAGTCCTTGCCTCACTCTGGCTGTGTTCCGCGCCCCCACCGCTCCACAAGTAAGCTCATCTCAAATACTGGTGTCCTCATGTGAGCTCTGTCTGTATTGATCTCATGGTACCTCAGGGCTTCGTTTCAGACGCCAGATCCTGTTGTGCTAGGCACTGTACATGCAGAGAGAGGAGTAGCACAGCGTCCTGTAGGATCTTGGCTGCCGGCTTGGATTTGCTGTGTCGTATTTCCTGCTGTGAGAGACTCAAAGGTTGCCAGTGCCCGATGCTCTCCCAGTAGATTGGAGCAAAGCGTTCTTCCTCCCGATTGCCTTGCTGTGGGTGAGAAGTCTGGTGTCCGGCATTAATAGGAGAAGGGGCCAGTTCCCGAGGTGGCAGAGGTTTATACAGGGTCTTGGCCAACCCTGGCATTGTCATGCTTTTAAAGTGCCAGGGCTGTCCGCGTATGCTAGACCCATGGGCTGGCTGAGTTCCAGTCCTGTAGAACCAATAGCACAGCCAAATCCTCAGGGCTCTCAGGTAGGAACACTGAACAGCAGGGCCACCTACTACTTCCTTTGTAACTCACCATCATGTTCCCTATGGCAATGAGAGTTTAGTGGAGCTTCTCAAAGCCTTTGGGGACTGTATTATGCCCAGTGTCACCCTCACCAGGCTTAGTGGCTGGACTGTCTTGCTGAGCACCTATAGGCTGAAGTGCCTGGGTTGAGGAAGGCCAGCGCTGGTTTTGGCGATGCTGGTGAGCTGGGTGCCTGGTGGGTTCACATGCGTGCTGGGACCAGCAGGCTGCTGGCCTTGTACCTGGGGGTTGGACGCAGCTGTGATGGATGTTGGACTCTTTGCTTGTGCACAACCAATATTCACCCCTGTATCTTCCTCCTCATCTCTAGGTGATGCAAGTGCTGAACGCAGATGCCATTGTGGTTAAGCTGAACTCTGGAGACTACAAAACCATACATCTGTCCAGTATCCGGCCACCTAGACTGGAAGGAGAAGGCACCCAGGTGAGGTTCCTTTGGTCCTGTGCCCTGTTTGCAGGCGAGGTAACTTATTTCTAGTTTAAAATAGGACTGAGGCTTGGGGAGGGGATGAATCGCTGAACATCAGGATGGCTTCTGAGTTCGCCTATGACCCAGGGCAAAGACTCTGGCAGCTCCTGGCATATCCATTCTGAGAGGGTGTTGGCGTTCTGACTGCTAGTGTCGTGTGTGTGCGTGTGTGTGGGGAGGTAGATGCTGTACAGAAGATGTGACTCTTACCTAAATCAGGTAGTCTTCTGAGCACCTGATGCAGAACCCCCACAGGAAGGGGTTCCAGCATGCCATATCCACTTGCTCTGGGGCAAGGTTTTCCATCACATTCAGTGTAAGCCTCCCTTTGCTCAACTTCGTCCTCTTTCTCATGGAGAAGGGTCTCTGCCTAGACGGTAAAGCAAGAGGGCTTGGGAGTCAAGTGGGGGCTCCAATCCCAGCCCTGTTGCTTTCTGTATGACCTTGGGTGAGTCAATTGCCCCTTGCTGCCTGTGTCCGTCGTCGTGTGTTGTGTCGTCCCTCCCCCCCCTTCCCCCCCGCACACCTCTACAGGGGATCTGCCTACCTCACAGGGAGTCAGTTTGGTTTGTGAAGTGCTTTGAAACTCTGGGATGATAGATGCTACAGAATTGCCAAATATTATTTGAATGGTGTGAAAGGACTAGCCCAGGGTATGGTGACTATTAACAGGAAGCAGCCTGGAGTTCTCCTCGTGTTGAGAAAAACATACCCCTGGTAGTGTTATAAGCAGGTGTGTGCACAGTTCCAATGGACCCTGCTGTTCCAAAGTTCCTAGCTCCTTGCATGGCTTGTTTGTAGGGGTTCTATGCAAGCGATGGGTGCACCCAGAGAATCCCAGTCAGTTCAGTGACCAGTTCTTATTCCACTGCTGTTTCTAATATTTCTTCATTGAAAGATGAGAATTCCACGAAAGATTGCAGAGAGGGAACTGAGTGAGAACATGTTAAATCCTCCTGGTTTTTCCTCCTTCCTTCCTCTTGCTCAGCAGGGTGCCTGTCCTCAGGGCTATGGAAACAGTTTCTTCAACTGGGAGGGAGGCGGGGATGAGATTATTGCTTAACTGTGGGGAAAATGATCATGTATCAAGAACAGCTGGTTGAAGGTGAACCTGAGCAAAACAGAGATGATGCTGGGGGGTAGAGGAAAGTATTTTGAGGAATTGGCCATGATGCAGTCTCCTTTGAAGGGTCACACCCCCACTTGCTCAATTAAGTCTAGTCTAGGAGTTCTTTTGGATTCCTTGCTGATGCGGAGTTCTCACATCACAGCAGCTGTGAGTGATGCTTTCTATCCTCTCTGGTTGGCTGGGAGTCCCCCATCCCATCCTGGTAGGTGAAAACCTGGCTCAGTTGTTCATGCCTGTCACAGTTCAGCTGGACTACAGCAAGGCATGAAACCTTCCACACTTAGGAAACTCCAACTAGTAGTAACTCAGCGACGTATGCTACCACAAATGTATCACACCTGTCCTGTGCGCTCTACACTGGCTTCTCCTTGAACTTTAAGTCAAGTGCAAGGTCTTGATGATTACCTTCAAAATGCTCCATGGTCTGAGCCCAGGATACTGAAGGAAGAGGTTGACTGTGGTTCTCTGGCCTAGTGGAATGCCCTGCAATACGAGTGAAGCTCGTCTGTGTGGGAGACAGAACCTTCCCTGGCATGGTCTGAGACTGAAAGGAAATTCCCCAGGAGCTAAGGACCATCACAAACTTCACTACCTTTCAATCCAAGGGCAAGGCCCATTTCTTTGACTTGCCTTCTCTGATACAAACACAGCAACAGGTGCGCTCATATCAAAAACCAAAACAAACTACCAAAGCGCACACTCCACTGCACGTGCTTCTGCCCTTGGGGAGAGGATTAGAGAACGAACCCCGCGTGACAGATGTGTAGCGGTGTGGCTTAATACACCAGTGGAAGGAGCTCAGATACTAGTGATGAGAGCAGTATAAAACATACCAATGCGAATAGGACAAATGTCCCCACTGAGACAATCCCATTTCAGTGCAATTCTAGTTATGCCTTCCTGTGCAGCCTCTTCTCTGCTTTAGGATGTGTTCTTTGTGATCTTCTCTCTAGTAAAAGGGTTACAGCACCCACAGCCATACTTAGATTTGATTTTAGCACTGCAGAAGGTTGCCTGTGAAGTGCCACAGAGATGGAGCTCTGTGTAAGCATTACGCTTAAGAGCAGTGCTGTAGCCAGGGCTGGCAAAGTGCTCATTATCAGTGCCTGAAAACGAGGTTTTGGAACTCTCCACGATACCCCTTGGGCTGGAGCGTCTCTTATTGTTCCCAGCCCAATGGTTTTGAGAATTCCAAGAGGGCCCCGGTTTAGTGACAGGCTTTTTGAGACCTTGGGCAGATTTCAAACTCTCTTGTTCTCTGAGTGAATGTCTTAAAACATCAGACTCACGTGGACTCGTTAATCAGAGCAAGGTGTTGACCTCTGATTTCCCAAAGACCTCAGCATCAGGATTTTTACATGTTACACTGTGCACACCCGGTCCAGTTTCCACTCTTTTAACCTATCTCCATTTGAGGCCTCTTGTCATTTAAGCATGAACTGTATCTACAACACTGTGCACTGAACCGTAGCACTTTAATATTAATGTGAAGGCACTGAAATTCACACACACAGCTGTGCATTCCTCAGAGCTTGCTGCTTAACCCATGCTGTTTCAAGGCACTGGAGTTGGTTCTGATCCTGCCTCTGGCGCAGAATGACTTTGTTCCCTGTCTGTAAAATGTTAGGGCTGTGGTGGTGGGGGCCCTAGATTCTGCCCTGTTTCCCCCTTGTTGCATCTTATCTGCAGTTGGCCTGTAAGTTCCTGGGAGCAAGGGTCATGTCTTTTATATTATAGTAGCTCCCAAGGGCCACACAGTAAACTCTAAATTCCAAATGCATTTAGTGCTTGTAGCTGAATTTGGTCACCTATTCACATGGCTGTTCTGATTCTCTAGCGACGAGCCCACAAGGAATTTTTCGTGGGAGTTTATTCCATAGTATAATGCTGCATTAAGGTTAAGACGCAGCATGCTTGAAAGTTAAGATTTTGTTTTCCTGTAGTAGCCTCTGCTCTGCCTACGCTGACTGATCTGTGAGGTGTGAAGTCACTGTTGTGTGGTGCAATTAGGGGAGCCCTACCTGGCCTCGTTACCCACACACACATAAAGGCAAACAAGCAACAACATCCAAAATCCTACATGTGTTTAGCGGGTGGAGTTGGGGTTGCTGTGGGAACCAGCACTTGGAAATTCCTGACTTCTGTAATGTTGCATTAATTTGTATGCATGGAATCGTGAATAACTTCCAAGATTAGATGGTTCCTCCTGCTGTTTCCTTTGCGCCCTGGTGAACTGAGCATCCCATTTATATTGCAGGAGGGAAATGTGGCCAGGTTAGAGGGCTTGGAGTGCTAGGAGCTGACTGGCGGGGGAGCTCACTTTTCATCGATCACACAGCCAGTAGGGACCATTTTGGCCAGCGTGTCTGACCTGCTGTGTGACACGGGCCATAGAACTTCCTCACGGTAATTCCTAGAGCAGTTCTTTCAGAAGCTTCCAACCTTGATTTAAAAATGGTCAGTGATGGAGAATTCACCATGACCCTTGATGTTGGCCTTGCCTTGTTGCCCTGTCCCAGGGTAGCACTGGTGACAGGTGGCATTGTGACAGCCCCAGTGCCCTGCAGAACTGTCCTGTGCGGTAGCCCCTGAGGCCGTGTGGCAGTACCTTGCTGAGCAGCCAACGCTGCGGCTCTGAGCAGCATGTGTAGTGTCCTTCTTAAGTAGCCTGCTTTCCCCTCAGCTTCCCGGAAGACCAGCAGAACGGTTACATCCTGGCAGTGTTGCCAGCTCTAGGCTTTGCCTTTGTATGAATTTGAAAATTATATTTCCTCACTTAAAGTACCATGTGCGCCAGAGCACAGGGGTTAATGACTTTCCACTCTTCTGGGACACTGTCCTCGCCTCCTTCATCTCTACTTGGTCTGCAGATGATTGAAGTTTACTGCTGAGGTGACCTTCTAAATGTACCCCTTGCAGCCCTGAAATCAAGGTCCGTGATCAAATGCAGTATTCTCTCCCCACCATCAGGGCTCAGATTCAGTTGTCCTATCCCTCAGGCAGCATTGTGCTGCCACTTCCCTTCAAAGTGCTTGGGTGTGTTTTTTGTTTAGCCACAGAGGCTGGAGTTGCAACCAGCTGTGTGTTTGGGAAATGCAGTGTCCTACACAGTGGCACACGTGTGCTGATCTCTGGAGCACTGGCCTGATACAGGAGTTTGGGGCCAGCAGTACGCACTGTTCTCAGATGGGAGGCTCCATTTGAAACAAGCATGGGCTGACATGATCACAAAGGTTGCATCTATGTGCTGTGTGTATGGTTAAAAACATGCCACAAGAACGGAAACCGCCTCCTGCTCTCACCCAATGTGCTGGCCCTTTCCTGGCTTCTGACAGCAATGCGGTAGTGGTCAGTCCCTAACCTTATGACTTCATACATTGTACGACTGCAGAGTAGACCATGGGATTCTGAGATAAGTCCACATGAGCAAACACCTGTTTCAACCTTTGTGCCCTAATGATCACTGCATCCAGGTGTGTAAAACAGCCAATGTCCCGGGTCTGAATCGCCATCTAGCCAGGACATGGCTGAGTCCCCTACGTGTCCATCCGATTTGCTTTCCCACAATTGACGTTCTTTAGCTGCAGCCAAGTAGCCCTTGAACTTCAATCTGTTCCCATCTGCTTGGGCCTACTGCTTCCTTCCTATCTCTGATGCTGGCCTGGACCGCTGAGAGCAGGTAGCCTCTATTTGGTGCTCCTCCTTAGGTCCCTCTGTAAAACTCCCTTCAAGGCCCACGAGGGCTAACCAATGTCATAAAGGGCTGTTAGCTGCCTCGTCCTCTGGGTCACCAGGCCCATGTCTTTGTTTAGATGGTACGCTGCTC